GCAGACAAGTACCTCAGGAAATGGTTCACATTCTTCAGGAGCAACAGCGATGTTGTGACTGCCCGGCCCGACTTTGAAATATACTCGCTCCAGCCACGGACCCTCTTTGTGTCTTTTAGAAACAGCCAGTCTGACAGCCGGTCAACACCATGGGCCATGAATACTAGGAAGTCCTTTATCCGGCTGACATTGGACATACAATTCTCTTTCCGTTTTACTGTCGGTGCGAGACCCTCACAATGACCTCTGTATGTCTGAATGTACATCTCCATGCTTTTAGGCAACGTGATTTCACGCATGGTATTCCCCCATCCCTTCCCAGTGGACCAGTGATTTGGGGGGAAGGGCCAGTCCTTAGCCAGATTAGCTTTCAGCTTATTGTAGACAGACGCACGGGTCTTCTGGCATACAGGGGTCTCACTACCGGAGGCTTCTGCGGACCGCATGACAGTCTTGGCCGGGGTCTTGAGAGGGGTCTCACTACCTAAGGCTTCTGCGGACTGCATGACAGTCCTGGCCGGGGTCTTGTGAGGGGTCTCATTACCGGAGGCTTCTGGGGACCGACAGTCTTGACCGGGGTCTTGAGAGGGGTATTGCTGCCGGAGGCTTCTGGTGAATGCATGACAGTCTTGACCGGGGTCTTGAGAGGGGTATACTTGCCGGAGGCTACTGTGTTCATGCCGGGGGTACTTGAGATTGCCAGGCCCTTAAATCGTATACATTCTTCCTCTTCCTCAAGCAGAGCAGCAGTGGCACTCTGCTTCCTGGGTTTTAGCCCCTTTTTCAGCCTGGAGCGCAGGGTCTTCACCTCATCAATGAGGGCATCCTTCTGAGCCCTCAATGCCACATTTTCCAGCCTCACCTGCCTGCAGTCCTCTTCGTCACACTCGGTATGTGGGGAGAAGGGTGGAGGGTGCACCGGGTATTCCTCCTCGTTGTCTATATCCAATAATGTAGCCATTCCAATGATGAGATTAGTCTCTCGGAGGTCATGGAGCAACTGCATGGCCACACTATGCTTCAGCCTTGCCATGACCTGATGTGCCTCATCTCGGGAGAACTCAGGGTGGTCATGAGTTACATGACGGTGTAGTCTCTTCCCAGCATACGAACACCCTGTGATGGGACAGGGTTTGGTCCGAACATTTATTCTACCACTGGCCATTTTAAGAATGATGCCTCTTTCCTCCAGGTTCCGCACTGCATGTTTGTGCTTAAGGTGCTTATTCAACGCCAGATAGAAGAGTCTGCACACCGGGCATTCGGACAACATCCTTACTAAAACACACACAATGAATTGTATTTAAATTATTTTCTGTTTCTCCGTTTATATGCGTTAGCGTAACCGGTGATTGCGACAATGGGTCCGATGCTTCAATGCAAACTTGGGTTACCACCGGGTTAAATGGTCCCACCTCCGCACAAACGCGGGGCTGGTGATGGCAAAATTGGGTCCGATGCATCAATTAATGGTGCCCCGACCATGAGAGGGTTTGGGGTGACCCGGAACCAGGCAGTACCCCAGCAGGAAAGACGTTTTATGGTCAAAGGAGGAAAGAGTGATAGAACCGGGGTAAAGCAAAGAAAGTGTCCGACAATAGTCCCGGATCTCCTACAATCCTAAATCTGCCACTGTGCTCAACCTGATGTCGAGTGATATTTTCCAAACATAATTGGTCCTTCTAGTGATAGCACCCCCTAAGCACCCCCAATGCACGCCCCGAATGTTATTTCTGTGGCCCCGGACAATTGTCCCTCAATAATATAATACATTAACCGTGCTTTACCTGAACCTCATCATGACACTAGAGAGGACGGTAGGATTGTAATTTCCCGTGTTCAGTGAATGCAACAGAGGCAAGACACCAGACCAATCAGAGAGTTGCATGGAAATACAGTACAAGTACTTCTGGGTCTCTGTGTTTCATTCAAGCTCGGCTCTGTGTGTGTGTGTGGCAATAGCGCATTTAGTGAGAGAGAGAGAGAGAGAGAGAGAGAGAGAGAGAGAGAGAGAGAGAGAGAGAGAATCGATGCCAGCAAGGTGGCAGCAACGAAATAACAAGACCAGGCCCAGATAAGTTATATAATAAAGAAGCAGTCACACTGGGCTAATACACACTGCATGTAAACGACAAATCTGACTCAGTAATTGCTAATACACAGTTACAGATGGCTCATTTGACCCCTACAGAATGTACTTAAATTGACAATATAAAATAGATTACAACGACAGATGATCAATACTCAAAGTCCCAGTCTGTATGGAATGCACCCTCGAAGAAATCTGATCAGACTGAGACAGCTCTTCATCCTGAGCTGCAGAAAAGTCTCCTTTGCTTTCAGAAAGTCCACTTTGAACGAGTGCTGCACCACTACTGGGCTCTTCACATCCTCCATGACAGGAGAGGAGAGGGGGTGAAGCTGCCATGGTGCTCCTGTGGACATGAGACAGTCATCAGATTGAGAAGAAGGAA